GATTAAATGTTCTGGGATTCCCATTCTTCTCAGAGTCAGCCACAGTTTATTATGATCCACGCAATCAAATGCCTTTGCATAGTCAATGAAACACAGATAGACCTTCCTCTGGTATTCCCTGCTTTCAGCCAAGATCCATCTAACATCTATATAAGCTTTATTAATCTTGTACCTGATTATGTTTAGCTCTTTACTTTAACTGCTAGGAATCTCAGAGCTCTTATCCAAGAACCATGTAGAAATACCTGACATATTCTGATCTGAACTTTATTGTTTTTGCTTTATCCAAATTCCTTCAGTCACTTATTCTATCTTCCAGAAAGTTTTGAGTTTTGAAAGTTATCCCAAGCTCTCTATGGATAAAGTGAGGTAATGCATAATATTGTTGTTGTTGGATACCATTGAGTATGACTCCTAATGACCCTCTGAACACCAATCTGAACCCTGTCCTATCCTGTGCCATCCTCACCATCTCTGACACATTTTAGCACATTGCTGTGGATCATTCTCACTGAGGGTCTTCTTCTCTTCTGCTAAGCCTCTACTTTTTCTTTTTTTAAAATTTTTGTTATTTTGTGTGTGTGCACTTTCAAATCGGATCTGACTGGTGCAGGATATTTCTCCTCCTTCTCCAACAGAGCATCTGGTGGGATTTATACCTCATACCTCCGGGATTGCAATGCAGCTTCTTGCCACTAGGTCACCAGAGCTCCCTGAGCCTCCACTTTTTCAAGCATGATGTTGTCCCTTTCCAAAGAATAGCCTCTTCTAGCAACATGCCTAAAACATGTGAGATGAAGTTTCATCATCCTTGCTTCTAAGGAGCATGACTGCACTTTTTCCAAGACACAACTGTTTGTGTTTCTGGCAGTCCAAGAGCATAATACAGAATGAGGAGAAAACAATTAATAAATCCATCCACCATTATCTTTAAACCGTCCTCGTTTCCAGACCTCTCACCTTCTTGCCCACCAAAGCCAAGACTAAAATAAAACAAGGAAGGCAACTGAGGTGCAAAATTTAAGGAAGCACTCACTCTCAGCGTTGCCCAAGTGCCAACTCCTTAAGGGTAAGGCACCTAGGGCACTCACATGACCCTGAAAGCAAGTGCTCCTCAAATTTTGCACCCTAGGCACCTCTCTTGCCTCACATCAAACTTGGGCCTACAGTACAACAACCTAATTAGGACCTGCTCCCATTTTCCGGGTTCTTCAAACTTGGGACCTCAGCACTGAATGCAGAGTTAGGGCACATGATCAAGCAAGGAGTTGTCTGAGCTGATGCTCCATTCTTAGCTGCCTAAGATGATACCAACTGTTTTGACCATCACATTTGTCTGCTGACTCATAACGAGTCTATCATCACTTAAAACCCCCAGGTTCTTTTTCCACGAACAGCAACCAAACCAGGTCTTCCCCATTCTGTCCTCTTTTGATTTCAAACCTCCTGAGAAGACCCTTAAAGAAAATGTTCAAGAGCTTAAGAAATCAGAGTCACAGAGAAAATGGGTTAAAGCAATAGAAGAAGTCAGGAGTCAGAGAGCTAGGAGTCAAGGAGATAGAGAACGAAGAGATGATATCAGAAATAAAAGTTAAGAGAGTGTTGGGTGTTAGAATAAAAAAATAATAATGATCAAGGATGTGGGAATTAGGTCAGGGAGGGTCCCAAACCTAGAGACCTGGAGAATTAGACACTTGAAGAAGGAAGAAAATATACAAGGATTAGACACAGGAAGAACTCAAAAATTCAGAATTTAGGGTAAGAAGAGACCCACTTGAGAGCACAGAACTGGGAGAGGAGGTTGATATGGAGTAAGGGGGTAAAAATAGAAACCGATGATGGTTAGGTAAGATAAATGAACCAGGAGCACACATGTCTCCACTGGCCTGGTCTTTCATTTTCTTGTTTGGTCTTGAGTTAACTAGAGAAGCCATCACCAAGCTCCAGTTGTTCTGTTTTCCAACTTTGTGTACCAGGGGGAGGTGAAGCAGGGGAGGCTGACACTGTGCATCTAGTGCCCAAGATCATTCCAATCTTGGGCTCAGGTGAGGTTCTGATGAGGGTAGAGGACACTTCTCCATCATTGTGGAATTCAACCAGGGTCAGAACCTAACAACCAGACGTCTCTCCCCTCTGAAGAGCACACCTCTCCCTGCTGGGAAGACAAATAGAGGTCAAAAGACTTAAAGGAGTGGGGTCTGGCTGATTGTGGGTTCAGTGATTCAAGATCAGGCTGGCAAGTGGCCCAGAGGGAAGGGCAATGCCAGGATGAGGATTTGCAAAGAGTTGAGAGATGATCAGGCCCAATTAAATCATATGGCCGTTGGCCAACAATCATCATTCTGAAGAGGAGTAAATCTTGCACTGGCAGCTGAATCAAGTCTACTTTGTAGAGCCAAGAGCCTCAGTGTAGCTCCATTTGGACTGTGTAAGACTCTCGAGGCCTGGGTTTTCCCGCTATGTGAGGCCAATGGAGATGGGGGCCTTCTCTGGGGAGGAGAAAAAGGGAAGGAGGTGTCTGGGGAGGCAGGGGCGGGGCTGGGAGCAGGAAATGAGCTGGGAACCACCACCACCTCCTTCCACTGCAGGCGCTACAGTCCCAGAGCAGAAGAGGGGACAAAGAGGAAATGACAGATTGGGGTGGGGTGTGGGGAAAAGAATCATGTCCTTCTCTGGGAGGAGCTCAAAGTGCCAAAAACAAGTTGAGCTGGGTTGGGCTGCCAGGATACCAAGGTTCAATTTCAAATTTCCTCAAGAAACATTGAGTGGCTACTCCACACCAGGCACAGTGGTGGGTCCTGTAGTGTCTCCAGCCCTGCTGGCTTCCTCGGCTTGCAAGCCTACTACAAGGCAAGTCAGGAAGAGAGTTGGGCAGGCTCTACAGAAAGTTCTCACACCCACCCTCCTTTGTGCTCTCTAGCCCCATCTTCAAACCAGACTCTAGCCACTGCTTTTACTCTTCCTGTGTTCGCCATGTCGGCAGCTTCTCCCATCACCCTCCACTTTGAACTTGTTTCTCTTTTGCACAAGAGAACACAAAGACTACTAAAGCAGGGGAGCTAACCTCACCCTAGATCTTCACCTATGGATCAGCTAGACTGTAGGAGGTCCAGACCATGTAACCTTGTCCCTAAACAATCTCTTTCTTCCACTAGGAAACCTATCTTCCCCAAGTACCATCTTCTGATCTAAGGCCCTTTGCCTGTCACCTTTCATTGTAACCCAAGGACTGTCCATTGCTTCTTGGTTACTCTTCCTCTACATCTGTCCCTTCAGCTCCCTCTTCAATCCCCAACCTCCGTCCCCTCTGCTTTGACTTCTCCCACCTCTCTATCCTCTCCCTCAGTGCTTGCTCAATGCAACCATCAACAACTCCTCAGCAAACCCATTCCCAAGCAGTTGCACAAAGACACTCTTCAGTGAGCCACATTTCCTGCTTGCCACCCATCGGCCTGCTGGGTTGTGACCCTGGACCACTGTCCCTACCCCAGGTGCACCGTGAAGCTGCTTCAGTCCTGGGACTAGATCTAGTGGAGAAGCTCCCTGCTCTAACCCATGCCACCCCCCAGCAGCTCAGAGCTGGCCTCCTTACCCTCCTGGCCTGAGTGCTGCAGGTGATCCTGCAAATCGCACCCAAACACTCGCTCCTTCGAGCTGCCCTTCTTCTTGCCTTTCTGACGAGACTTCATGGCCGGAGCTCCAGGGCTCTGGCTGAGCCACTACTATCCCCCAAGACCTTTGCCCTACCAGTCCCCCATGAGGTCCCAAGCCGACCTCTGGGTTTGGCCCAGCCCCAGGGGGGCAGGGCTCTGAACTGGGGGTGGAGGGTGGCCTGGGCAACAGGACGCAACTCCTACTTCTGGGGCCCCGGCCACGCGGAAGTGGCTGTGGAAGAGGAAGCTGCCAGGACCCTGGCGAGAAGCTATGTCTCGTGGCCCAGCCTGGCACTCGCCCTTCTCACCCCACTCAGTTCTTGGGGTGGGGGGGGGCAGGAAGCTGTGCAGCTCCTCAAACCCGCTTCCTGTTAAAGCATCTTTGCAACCACAGGGCCTAGGGTGGGGGAGGTGGAGGTAGCTGACATTCACATCCTCACTCATTTCTGGGACTGGACTGCGCTTATTGGTCAGGGGGAGTGATGTCAGAGCCCTGGGGTTGGATGATGGCATTCAGGATATGCTAGGTGATTGACACCCTGAGACAGCAGAACTCTGGGGTGTGAAGTGAGGACCCCAGGCCTGGAAGGAAGGCAGCACAGGACTGTGCACACACACCCAGAAGGGAGGATGCTCACATTCTGCCCCAACAGGCCTATCACCTCAGTCAAGTCACGTTACCTTGCTGAGCTTCAGTTTCCGCATCTATGAAAATGAAGAGGGTGGATTAGACGATCTTCCAATCCTCTCAGCTCTAACACTCTGTGACTTATTTGAATTTCCGTTTCTTTATCTGTAAAAAGGGTATGCCGCTGTCTATCTTAAAGAGCTGTGGTTATGAAACTCCAATACAATATAAAGGATTTAAAACACTTTGCTCACTAAGCCACTGGATGTCCACAGCTCCACTGTGCTGTGGAGGGCTTGGAAAGAGGACTGAGGGTCTTGCGGAGGCCAAGTCTTTCCCCTTTCCCTCCCATCTACATATATCTTAACTTCTCTTCTACTTGGAGAGACAAGGAAGGTCGTGTTAAGAGAGAGATCAGCAGAATTCAAGGTTACACAAGCCACGGGAGAAGACAGCAAGGAAGCATAACAGGTTTTATCTGTTTATTTAAAAACAGAATATCATTTTATGTACAAATATGCACATATTTACACAAAATGTACACCGTAGAAATGGGATATTCAATTCAAAGTCCTCGGCTCACTAGGAAGCAGACGAGAGTCTCTCCTTTGGTCCAGAAACTCAGCAGATTCCAGGCCAAGCAGGCATGGACACGAAATCTAGGTGTTCTGGCTGAGTGTGTGTTCAGGCGAACAGGTAAAAATAGATCTCATCTAACCTCAGCCCTTAACTAGGGACTCTGCCCAAAGGGCCCTCCAATATAGATGCAGGAAGCCCTGGAAGAAAAGGAGGCATTTGTACCCAAGCACCTCCTTCTCCTTAACTAGACCCCTATCTTCCCTCAGTCTGTCATCAACATCCTCTCTTCCCCACGCCACCGCTGAACCAGGAGTCCTGTCACCAAGCCCCAGCAACTCCCCGGAGGGTCACAACTCTGGATAGAAGTGATATTAGAGACAAGGCTAAGGGAAGAGCCGAAGGGCCACTAGGGTCAATAAGCCTGCCCTATTGACCTTAGCCTCTAAATTCACACTCCACGAACAGCATGTCTTAGAAAGAGCCCCTTTCAGAGCCACAGGACGTGACCTCATGCGATGGAGCTCTAGAGAGTCTAGCCTTGAGGAATTTCTGGGTAAGGTGGAACTGTAAACAATTCCAGTAACAAGCGTCCAGGTAAATAACAGTTTTAAGGGTTTGGGGTTTGTTTTTTGGTTTTTTTTCTTTCCAAAAATGTCTTCTCTTCCTAGAGGCTTTATAACAGCATTACTTAAAGAACCTCCCTTGTACAGGCTTATGTACAGAAAATATATACACACAGCAGGCCAAGAGGCCACCAGAGGGCAGAGGACTTTGTAACAGCTGGAGCCTCTGGCAGAATCGGAAACAAAGTGTCTGTTTTCTCTTTCACCTTTTCTCTGACTGTTCCCAGGTCAGGGGGAGCCCGGCTCCTCCAATTCAGGAGGCCAGGTTCCAGCCCAGCTATGCCCGCACACCTGGATCTGGCCTCCAATTTTAATCTCTCGCCTCCAACCTCTGCATCACTAATACTGCTCTAGGGTCTGAGGAAAATACTTGCATTCACAGGCAGAGATCACACACACACAGAGCACACAAGTCCGAGCATTTCCCACACAGCCCCCTGAACCCTGAGGCAGGTACATACCATAGTTCACGGGGACACTGACCTAACAGCAGGGACACACCAAGTCATATCCACAAGACACAGTCACCCTTCTAGGCACACGCAGGCAGCGATACTCACACAAACACAACTGCACACGCAAACACAGTGGCCTGCACTCATGTGGGAAGGACTCAGCCAGGAGAATCCTCCCAGAAGGGTTGGAGGAAAAGGTCGAGCAGTCAGTGGGGTGGGGAGCATCTTCCTTAAAAAACAGGGATATTTAAGAGGCCCTCAGGATGAGCTGAAATCCCCATGTCAGCAGAAGGAGCAGGCCTAGGGCAGGGAGGCAGGCCTGGGTCAGACCAGGTGACCCCTTCCATTGATGTAGATGCCATTGCCTGTGGGCTTGGCCCGCAAGGTTCCATTCTCCTGAACGAAATGGTTCATGGCCTGTTTGATGCCTTCATCCTGATCATCCTCTTCCTCTGCCCGCCCAGGGCCTGGAGACAGCAGTTCAGTCTGTGTTTCAATCTCCCTCACTGTAGTCAGCGTGGAGTAACTACGGCCTTCTGGCTCTTCACTCTGGAGACAGAAGGCAGAGAGAGAGAGCAAATCAGGAGCCAAGATGAGAGTGGTCAGATAGAGCTGGTGGCAGTGGGGCAGGGCAGGGTTCAAGGTCAGGCACAGCAAGGATATGGGTTGTCTCTGAGGCTCTGGGGGTCAGAGGTCAGGGGCTGGGCAGCAGTGATAGGCGTGGGGAAGGGAGACAGAAGCACAGAGCAAAGCAGAGCGGGCTGGGCAGTGAAAGCCAGAGCTGATGTGAAAGGGGCTGGTGAGGGGGCTGCTGACACCACATCTGGGACCAGGAGAGGGGCCTGAAGAGTGGTGGGGACACCGGTGGGGCCGGGGGCCTCACCATCACAGAGCAGCTACTGTTGTCCTTGAGACTATCAGGGTGGCCCTCGGCTCTCAGCCCTACACTCTCCTCCGGCTGCAGGGCCCGACACAGGGGAGGGATTAGAACAGAGCTCAGCATCCTCCCCTCAGCCTCTTCACTTCTGTCCTCCACCAGCCTCCTTCCTGATCACTTGACCCCCAGCCTCACAAGTCCACACTCTTCCCTGACACAAATACCCTCCCCACCCGAGTCCCACCCCAGAACCAGTGTCGATAGTGGCTTCTCAGAGCAGCCTCTAGGCTGGAACTGAAGGGGGGAACCATTCAGAGGGACCTCAGCAGACCCAAAGACGCTCCTTTCTCTAACCTCACTCCCAGCCCAGCCCCAGCTATGAGTCAGCAGTCAGACCTGGAGGACGCCAGACCTGGTACTCCTGGTCTGTTAGAGGGGCCCAAAGCACAAGCAAACTTCGGTGTGGCCAAACCCCACTCACGCACCCACACGTGGCACCCACCTGGCTCCTGGGATCTGTATGATGGGAATGCAGCCTTCGGATGGAATTCTCCCTGGTTAAGGTCAGCTCCTCCTCACTAGGAAAGACACCAATTTGACAGGAGCTGAGGGTTGTGGTAGCTAAGGTAAGCCCAGCCTCACCTAGCCTATGGGTAACAAGCTGGAAGCTCAAGGCCTGCACATCCAAGTGTGTGCCTGTAGATGGCGGTATGGCTGGGGGTGTTTGCTGAGAACCTGTGTGTCGTGGGAGCTGTGCTGGCACTGTGGGTAAAAGCATTCAGCTGCTAATCAAAAGTGTGATAGTATCAACCCACCAGCTGCTCCAACGGAGGGAGTTGAAGCAATCTGCTTCCATAAAGATTTACAATCTTGGGAACGCTAGAGGCGGTTCTGCTCAGTCCTTCAGGGTCATTATGAGTCAGAATCCCCTCGATAGCAGTGGGTTGTATATGTGCGAGGGGTCAGAATAGAATGTTGGCACGCATGTGCACCCACAAGTGTGTGTATTTGGTAAACTCAAGTACATCTATCAGATCCACAAGCGGAGAGTTCCCTCAGCCAGCTGTGGTCCAGGCCCAAGTGTATCACCTCTGGAAAGACCCTGCCCACTTCTCAGGTCCATTAGCTTCCCTGAAGCCAGGCCATCCAAGCTCTCCTTGTTCCTCGTTCCAGCTTCACCTCTTGTTTTGCCTCCTTTTGGTTTCTAGCTTCCCCTACTCACCCAAGGAGCAGCCAGTACTCACTATTTCTGGGTCATCTGCTGAGCCTTGCGCCGATGGTATCGGGACATGAGCACCACCACCACCACCAGAAGGCAGAGCAGGAGGGCAGCGATCACACCCACTGCCACCACTGAGGCTGACACCAGGTCCACCTGCTTCACACTCTCATCCTGAGGGTCTGCTAGAAATGGGCCACTGTTTGAGGGGGATGGCCAGATCTCTCAGCTGCCCCAGTTTCCACAGTCCCACACTCACTGCTCTCCCAATACACATCCCTACCACCCGCTAGCCAAATCACACCTAATACATATAGGCCAGGTCCCCACAATGAAATACCTTCCCAAGTCACTTCCTCTGTCCTGCTTCCTGTTAATCCCAGCAGACCCTATACCCAGAGCTCTTTGTTCTGTTTCCAATGCTTACCAAGAACATCCACCACAACCTGAGAATCCCTCGAGGAGAGCTCATTGCTGACGTGGCAAACGTAGGTACCACTGTGCTCAGTAGTCAGTCGGGGAAAGCCCAGAGTGGCCCCTTCTACTCGGACCCCGCTGGGCAGAGGCCCGTCCAGCCTGAAGGACAGGGAAGCTGATGGGTGCCCGCTGGGACGGGCTGAGGCTGCCACCACCCAACGTGCCTGGGCAGCTCTCCACCTCCCTCCCCCAT